AAGTCGCCGTCAGTCCTCGTCGTCCGCCGCGCCTCCACTCGCCGTCGCCGTCAGTCCTCGTCGTCCGCCGCGCCTCCATTCCAGTCGCCTGCTCGCCGGAGAAGAAGGTAAACCCGCCGCGCCTCCATTCCAGTCGCATGCTTCACCGACCGAAGCCACCGTTCGGTTGGCCCTCGGTCAAACCGAGGTCAACGTTCGGTTGGCCTTTGGTCAACCCGCAGTCAACAGTCGGTTGGGCCATGGTCAAACCGAAGTCAACATTCGGTTGAGCCATGGTCAAACCGAATGTTGACTTCGATTTGACCATGGTCAAACCGAAGTCAATTTTAGGTTGGTTACTTTTTAAATAATTTTAATGCAATTAATTAATAAAAATTGTTATTAAATATTGTAAATTAAGTAATAATTAGAAATAATTGTAGTTAATTATAAATAAGTTGTACGGTTTATAATTTATTATAAAAATTAAATTCGAATAGTTTTATGAATTCAATTATGAAAAAAATATTGTGAATAATGTAATAAAAATTAGTAAAAATTATCTGAAATTTTTAAAAAGTATCAAAATTTAGAAATCTAATCTGTAAATTTGTAATTAATGTTAAAAAAATATTAGAATAATGGATAAATTAAAAAGTAATCGAAATTAGACAAAAAGACTAAGAAAGTTGTAATTAATACACAACACAATGAATTAATACAAGATGTATACAACATCTAATCATGCAAAATAGGGACACTACTTCTAACCTGTATCATTATGAGTATCCGGCTCCGTCTCATTCGTATTTGTGGACTCGAAGTTGGTGTCTGCATCAGGGATACCATCTAATATCATTTACAAAAATAAGTTAGTTGAACATCATATTCTACACAATTGAACATAAATTTCCCAAAAAGTACAACCTACCTGTCCTCTGGTCATTGTCCGGTGTTGTGGTCGAAGGTATCGAACTTCTCCTGCCCCGTCTCCTCTCCACATGCTCGAAATGAGATAGGTTTCGCGTGGTGGATGTCCTCGGGCGACCGGGTCGGGGCTGCCCCCCATGCGGCTCATCAATGCCATCATTTTTCAGGATGAAGATGACTCCGAAGTAGGCCAATAGCCCCTCGAATGGTCTCATCTCCCCTATCAAGAACCTCCTGTACTAGACTTTGGAAGACATCACGATGGTAAAGACTATCGTCATCCCACTCTGCCCGAGTAGGAGGTTCACGATAGTTCATAATGGTCCAAAAAGCTAACACCTCATATGGGGCAATGTCCCGCTTTTCAGAACGTGCTAACTGCATTGCACATCTACATGGGAGACCAAAGATAGCAGGAAACGTACATGTACAGCTTGCTCCTTCCACTGATACCTCAATGAGCATCAACCTCATAGCCTGTAGAGTGACGTTTGTATGCAACTCCCGAAATGGTCTTCCGTCTGCTAGTAACATCTTCTTTAATCTAGAATCCTCTAGAAGCTTTTGGATTTGAAGATGTTGAGCCTCAATGTAATCATGGTTCTTCTTATAAACCTACAAAGAAAGAAAGAAAATTAGGATACTAGATTAAGTAAAACTTCTAAAGAAGACATAAATGAAAATTTATTAAGAGACTAACCGTGTCGATTGCACCAGTTGCTGATTGAAGCCACTTCTTCAAGGATGAATGAGCAGATTCAACCCGATTTGAGTTTGTATTACCCAAATGTCGCACTTGGTTTGTATAACATGTTGCCCACATATGCTTGTTTGGTAACCACTCATGTGACAAGTACCCCCAAAGACGTGGATACTGTACTCCCCAACTACGCCTGAAACTGTCTAAAGCTCTATTCATGCCTTCCTCACTGCCGGCATATACAATGCTTTTCCAAGACGCCATGATCAGATCCACTGTCGGTTGGGCTGCATCTATCCCATAATGAGACGTCCTCCTCACCTCCGTTAGACACCGTGCTCTCACATTCCTGTCTACATGCCAAAGGCATAGTATATGAGTCGATGATGGAAACATTACCCCCACGGTCTCAACCAATCCTCCTGCTTTGTCACTAACAAATACATCTGGAGTGATAGAGCCAAGCAAATGTTGCAGATGCGTGAGAAGCCACTGGTACGACTCTTTTGTCTCGTCATACACTAGCGCAGATGCAATGACAAAGTTCAATCCCACCGGTGTCATGCCAACAATCTCAACCCATGGAAACTCATACTTGTTGGTCTTGTATGTTGCATCTATTACAATGACATGGTGCCAAGCTCGCAACATCAATATTGACTCAAGGTGGGCTAGGAACAAGTGTGTAAGCACGTTACGGTCATCCACATACTGCACATAGTAACCCTTCTCCCGAGCATCTTGAAAAGTGTACTGTAAGGCCGTCCTCTGACCAAGCTCTTCTTTTCTTATATTATACAATGCGTTAGAAATCTGTCTTTTGTTCACCTTTCCGTGCTCCTCTTTTCTCTCGTTCACTGCCTTGTGGATATTCCTTGGGGCGACACCGGCTAATCTCAGTTGTCAGATGTATTGCTTATCATCTTCGGTCAAAACATTCCTCTTACTTGATCCATTCGGAAATAGCTCCAGCGGATGATTGTGAAAACCCAAATTAGCACCAGGATTCTTTGTATTAGCCACTGCTAGTATCAACCAATATCCATCATCTGACCGCTCAATCTTGATCTGAAATTCACACCCCAACTTTCCCGAAGAAGTAAGAGGCCTCCTTTCCTCAGCCGCATCAGAATCAGGAGCCTTCGATTTTTTCTTCCTACCATGAGTGCACTTCAAGTATCGTCGCCTACTATCTTCATTTGGATTTTTTTTATTTGATGCCTTCACCAAATAAAACCCAAAACCCTTGGCAATCTCAGTAGCTGCTGCATATGCAATCAAATCCGTATCGTATTTTACTCCATTGACGAATTTTGAGGTGTAATCTTTGCCATCCCCTCCGTAATCATCAATATCCTACAATGTTAGATCTCATGATATAAGTAGGACTCCACAATAATAGAAAATCTAACGACTACATTTAATTTAACAATTATCACAAATAATTTAGCATTCTGAATATTCTCCTAAGCAAAATCCAACATTTAACATGACAAAATTTAGCATTCTCTATTATTTACATAAGAATCATATTAATCACATTCTAGAATTTTTTTATTGCGTATTATACATCTAATTTTAATTTTGTATACAAAAACATTCAATTTCACAAATAATTAGGCTCATAAATTTTAAAAATAATATAAACTAAAATTCAACAAACAATCATATAGACCAAACTATAAATCATAACAAAAAAATAGAAATATTTGATATAAACTTTAAAAAACCCAAAAGCCACCAACAGAAGCAAATTTTCGGTTCCACCATGGCTAAACCGAAGCCAATTTTCGGTTTCACCATGGCCTAACCGAAGACAGGGTTCGGTTCTACCATGGCTAAACCGAAACCAATTTTCGTTTCACCCATGGACCAAACGAAGCAGATTTTTGGTTCATCCATGGCTCAACCGAATGTGATTTTCGGTTGGTCCATGGTTCAACCGAAACCAATTTTTGGTTCAACCATGGACCAACCGAAAATCACATTCGGTTGAGAATTTTTGGGTTTTTTTTTTAAAAAAATGAGATTTTTACCTCGTCGGAGTCGCTACTCATTGTTCGGACGTATGCTCGACGATTTCGGCTTCCAAATGTCGATGATGAATTCGAGAGTGTGGGAGAATGAGTGTTTTTTGCTTTCTAAGTGAAGGTGGTGTTTGTTTGCTAAAGGAAAGGTAAAGATGTTAAAAGGTTAAAAGTGTAACTTTGTTGTTTTTTAGGACGATCATTAGTAATTGTTAGGACGACCTTTATCAACTCCCAATTTCATTACCCCATCAACCAATAGTGTAAAAAAACTGACTCATTTTGTGACTTAGATACAATTAATAATTTATAATTTGCATGCCAATATCTAATGAACATTACACGACATTGTAATCAATAATAGTAGTCCATGAACATCTTTTACTCTTTGTCTTTAGAAGTTGATGATAAGCGTGTAGAGCGATAATGAAATATGACGAATGTTTGATAGTATAAATAAACAAGAAGCAAATTTTTGTCATGTGAAAATAAGGTGCGGCTTACTTACATCAATCTCCCACCTGTCAAGTTATTTGCAGATGAATCGATATCAAACCTCGAATTATTCACTCTCGTCCCCACTCCTGATTAAAAACTCATGAGATATGACCCTTTATGAATCTAACCATGTTTACAGATATTATGTTTAATCCAAACTCATATAAAAATTTTACCACTATATAGTTGAACCAAAGTGGTGCAAATGCAATTGCTTGTATATTATTAGCCATTATGATTTATGAAGACGGAAAGGGGAGGAGGTGTTATGGCTTATGAGAATTCGAGCACGTGTCCGCGTGGTTATTGATTATGAATAAATAGATGAAAATTAGAGTACTCTACAGACTGCTGATACATCATACATCTAAACCTCTATGTATTGAACTTGTAGGATTTACCTGGGTAGCAAAGGTTTTGGACCACAAATTTGTTTGTGTTACCGTACCAAAATTTAAGTTATATTTTTTAATTTCTTTACATTTTCAATTCATCACGTTTTTCTAACCCATCATTTCCTTTTGGTTTCATTCCTCCCATTTTGAGCAATTTTAGATTTTCCCCCGTCACATTGGATTTGGTTACAAGCTATCATGGATTAGCTGGCCTTCTAAAAAAGGAAAAGGCAGAAAGGAGAAACCGATGCTCAAGGGATACGATAGAATAACAACACCCTATCTGTTGTTATTCTAACAACATAATTCATTAAAGGCAAAATTGAAAATTTATAATAAAAACAATAAAAATAAAAATTAGCCCTTCCCCTCCGCTCTGTTCTCCATCCATGGTGTCCTCCTCCAACTGCCATCTAATCCCTAATTCCAACTCTCCTCGGTGGAGAAATCCTACTCCGGCGCCGGCGAATCTCAACACCGCTCCATGCACCGACTGCAGCATCCCGCCGCTGACTCCCAATATCCCGCCGGCGACGACGATGACCGTCTGGTCACAAGAGTGGTTGTAGTAGAGGAAGGACCAGGCGTAGAGCGCGTAGGTGATGCATCCCGCGGGGAGCATGAGCCGGGGGCCGGCGACGTTGCACAGGCCGCCGCCGACCACGCAGAAGACGGCGAGGGCGGCATAGAGGGCGTTGTTGGCGGCGGTGGGGTCCACCTGCCCGCCGTCGCCCAGACTTGCCTTCCTACATGATCGTTCGTAGTCCTGGGCCATGGATTACTCCCTCCATCGGCGTGGAAGTCGAAATCTACAGAATCCAATTTCCGATCATTGTTGCAGGAAAGACAAATACAAGAAAGGAAAGCCGTCAGCGGGAGAAAGTGAAACAGAATTGGGGGAGTCCACAGCAGGCAGCGAGGTTAAATTGATTTGATAACCTTTCAACTATTAACCACAATGTTTGCTTTTGGTTTGGGAATTATGGAATGCAATTGTGGTTATATGTATTATAGAGAATACTGCATACCATAAACCTACTAATGCAGACCACAAATCTTCTAAAACATACTAGAAATTTCACAAAGCAAACCACAAATATTTTATAAGCACACCAGAAACATTGTAATCCAAACCGCAAACACAATAATGCATACTACAAATCTCCTAAAACAAACCACAAACCTCACAAATCAAACCACAACATTTGCGAAAGCACACCAGAAACCTCCTAATGCAAACCACAAACACAGTAAATCAAACCACAAAAAAGCAAACCATAAACGTCCTAATGCAAACCACAAATATATTAAAACAAACCAGAAACCCCTCAATGCAAACCAAAATTTTTTTGAAAGCAAACCAGAAATTTCTCAATGCAAACCACAAACACGATAAAGCAAACCATAAAAGGCATAAAAAAATATGAGAAACCAAACCATAAATCTCACAATGCAGACCATTATATCCGGTGATCGTTGACCGTTGACCGGTCAACGAAGACCGTTGACCGAACTCCGATGACCGTCAGTGAGCAGATTCCGACGCCGATAGGCATATTCCGGTTCCGATGACTAGATTCCGACGCTGGTAAGCATATTCCGGCCACAACATAGCATATTCCGGCGACAAAAAGCATATTCCGGTGACCGGCGACCGGTGGCAGAATTCCGGCGACCAAATTTTTGGGCAGAAAATATAAAAAAAAATTATTTTTTTATTATTATTTAAACATATTTTTCATAATGACAATTATACCCCTGCTTTGATTTTACACTAGGTCAACTCATCTAATAAAAAGTCATCTCAACCCTAGCTTCCTATTGGTTGGAGACTAGTGTTGTTACAATAACAACAAAATATGTGTTGTTATAGTAACCGGTCCCTATGCTCAAATAGAGGGATAGGGGTGGGGCCAAAGTTGGGAATTTGTTTGAGAGCCTAATAATATGACGATAAGTAAGAAACAAATATTCATATTTCTATTGCACAGAATGACTGCAGGATGAAAAATATCGGCTTGTAAATGTAGGAAAACAAATAGTGATATTATTTTCAATTTTGTGATTCATTTCATATTCGATAATATTATAAATTATGATTTGAATTGCTCGACCCCTCCACCATCCCTTGCGAGTTGGCTACACGTGAGATCCCGACAATTGCACGTAGCACTTTGTCGAAAAAAATCTTTGTCAGATTAGAACCTCACCAACAACTCGAATCCGAACGGGATCATCCCATCTCCCGCCAGTAGCATGATGTTGGGCCCGTAATTAGGTCCAGCTGTCCTGGGCCTGGGCTCGTGGGCTGTCGACAGGAGGAGTCCCGCGTGAATGGAGGCAACTGCATAAATGAGACGCAAGTTAGTAACAACGTTTTGGTTGTGGAAAATTAGGGTTTCAAACTTACCCCTTTCCTTCTTCTCATTACTGATATATAGTCCAAGCTACAATCCAAAAAACATCCAGCTCTGTTGGTGAAAAACAATTACAGAGAAGGTGAATAGTAAAAACGATATATGTCCAGACCATTGGGAAAGCTCGTCTCTCATTGGTTCTTAAAACCCCAATATGCACGCGACACGTGACACCTGGATATGCTTCAGGGAAGGATGGAACGACGCTGCTTCACTTGGTGCAAATACCTTCTCCTCCTGATACCCCAAGCTTCGAGATAAGAGAACTGAAAGGGGCAGGAGACAAAGGTTTAGTGAAGACATCGGCAAGCTGATGATCTAAAGCAACATGAAAAACTTTGATGACACTAGCAAGGAGCTTGTCATGTTTTAGATGACAATCAAGTTCTATATGTTTAGTCCTTTCATGGAAAGTAGGATTTTCAGCTATGTAAATCGCTGATTGATTATCACAATAGAGGCTGACTGGATATGGATGAGGAACCTTGAAGTCATTGAGAAGAAACAATAGCCACTGAATTTCACAGGTGGTATATGCTAAAGCTCTGTACTCAGCTTCACATGAGGAACGAGACACAATGGTTTGCTTCTTAGATTTCCAAGAAACCATAGATCCTACAATAAAGACACAATACCCTGTGATGGATCTGCGTGTATCAGGACAAGCACCCCCAATCTGCGTCACTGAAGGCTTTGAGAGTAAGGGGAGACTTGGCAGGAAAGAAGAGGCCATGACCAGGATTTTTCTTGATGTATCTCAAAATTCTGGTGACAGCCTTCTTGTGAATGACAGATGGAGAACTCATATACCGACTAACTTGCTAAGTAGAAAAACTTATTTATGGTATCGTTGTTGTGAGGTATATGAGTTTCCCAACTAGACTTCGATAAGCAATAGGATCTACTAGATCACTTCCATTTTTAGTACTCAAATGTAACTTGTAATCAATGTGAGTTGTCACTAGTTTAACTCCTAAATCACCAGCTGCATCAAGCAATTCGAGAGTATATTTACGTTGAGACAGATGAATACCTTTAGGAGATCTGGCCACTTCAAGGCCAAGAAAGAACTTGAGAACAGCGAGGTCCTTAATGTTGAATGCTTGGTGAAGATGAGCCTTAATACTAGTAATCTCCTATAAATCATCCCCCCCCCCTCCCACCCACAATCAAATCATAAACATAAACGAGGATGGCTGTATAGGAAGTATCTGTAACCTTAGTAAACAAAGAATGGTCTGCCTGAATCTGTGAATACCCATGATGAAGTAAGTTGTCAGACAGTTTGGAGGAGAACCACTGTCTGGAGGCCTGTTTAAGGCCATATAGGGACTTAGGTAACCTAAAAACTGGATTTGGAGGGGGAGATGGAGGAGTGATACCAGGAGGCAAAGCCATATAAACTTCTTCATTGAGGTCCCCGTGTAAAAAGGCATTATTAATGTCTAATTGATGGAGATGCCATTTTCTAGCTGCTGCAACTGCCAAGAAGGTTCTAACTGTTGTCATTTTCACCACTGGAGCAAAGGTGTCCAGATAGTCTATGCCTTCTCGTTGAGTGTATCCCTTTGCAACCAGCCTAGCCTTGTATCTTTCAATTTCACCATCTGACATGTATTTGATCCTATACACCCATTTGCATCCAATCTTCTTCTTACCTGCAGGCAGAGAAAAAACTATCCATGTTTTGTTATGCTCAAGGGCATTAAATTCCTGATGCATAACATTGTTCCACACTTCATGCTGGCCTGCCTGCTCATAGGTTTTTGGTTCTGTCTGAGCTGATATAGCAAGGACAAAATGTCTATGGGTAGGAGTGAGTTTAGTATAGGCCAGAGAGTTATGGATTGGATACCTGGAACTTCTTGTCACAGGACTTGTCTTGGATGCAAACAGTTGAGACCTGCGAGTCACCAAATGACCACATTCATAATTGCTAAGGTGGGAGGGGACTTTAATGGTACGAGGTGGAAGAGTCCTAGTAGGAACAGAGGAAGAAGGAGCTGTGGAAACAGGTTCAGATGGTGGTAAGTAGATGGGTGGTGGCGTTTCTGGGGGGACTAGTGATAATCGCCTTTAATATATCGGATTCTTGAGCTTTATGTGACTATCTCATGATATGTTTAAGCCGATGAATGCTATTTTAGGGAGAATTAACCCCGGAATGGTTGAAAAACCATTACCATCATGTGCAATTGTTTTCTGAACAAAATTAGTTGTTTATTGTTGATTTAGAACATGATGAACAAAACCCTATTGTTTTATCTTAATTTCGTCATGAACTAAACCCCGATTTCTGGGGGAAACACCATAGGATGTAGCTATTTCTTGATTTGATGGATTGATTCATGATTCTTTTCTTCCAATCTCTATTGCATGAAATTGCTTAATGCTTTGTGTTGACTGGCCACCAATACATTGATTAGTTGTTAATTAGGTTATTAGCGACAGTGAAACCCTAATAACTGAACCTGTTTCATGTGACATAGTAACTTATCGAAGCGACAGTGGATTAAATAAGGTGCTATGCGGTCTTAAATAGGATATCGATCTTCAGACTATATAGTTAATTCATTGAGCTACGACAGTAGGATTTGAATTGATTATTTAGTACGTAGTAATTCCCGACAGGGATAGCTAGCACAGTAGTGATATCCTGGATGTAGAGATATGGATTAAATTGATTGGAATATGTGAATTAATCTGGATAGGATAGGTAGTGAATCCCGGTGTTTCTCCCAGAGCTTTCTCCGTTGAATTTCTCCCGACAGTTTTTATTTTCTTAATTAGTTTAATTATTTTGCTAGTAGTTAATAATCTCATTCAACCATTTTCAGCTATAGTTTACTCAATAAAGTTGATAGAACTTAAGGTTGTACCAGTCCCTGAGAGACGATACCCGGACTTTCCGGATTACTACAAGATAGGAATTGGCATTACGCTTTTGCCCTATCAACTAGCACCATCATCATCATCATCATCACTATCAGAGGCATCATGTGAGTTTTCTGGGATTGGAGAAGGGACATAATCATCATCATCATCATGAGCCTTACTAGGAACTGATGGGAGGCAGTCAGGAGAAATGTCACCAGAAGAAGAAATGGTAGACATTTGAAAGGGAAAGTCTGCCTCGTGAAATATGACATCTCTAGAGTGATAGACATCATGAGTATTGAGATAATAGATACGAAAACCTTTGATTCCAGGAGTTTATCCCAGAAAGATGCATTTTCTTGCTCTGGAAGTAAACTTGGTTCTGGTGCTTGG